CCGCAACCTGCTGGTCCCAGTCCAGTTTTTGGTTATTATTATTATTATTATTATTATTATTTTTACTGCTCTAACAGAACATCTGAGATTGGGAAATTCATAAAAAAAACAGAAATTATTTTCTTTTAGTTCTAGAAACTGGGAAATCCAAGATGAAAGTACCATTGTCTGATGAAGGTCTTCTTGCTACAAACTAGTTTTTACTGGAGAGTAGTATATACTCACCCACCCTATTGCTGACAAACCAGTGTTAAATAAGAAACAGGCTTGGGGCCAGCAGGTAGTGTGGTGGATAATGTGCTAGACTCCCTCGTGGCCAACTGTGGTTTGAGTGTTGGACCCAGTGGCTTAAAAGTCATGCCAGGTGCAAATGCATGCTTACCAAAAATTCTGAGAGGGGAATGGAGGAGAAGGAATTGTGGCATGGCCATCACTTCTGGGATGTGTGTGGGGGGGTGATTTATCACTTTCTCTCTCTATCTCTCTGTCTCTTTCCAGTGAGCCCATGAGCCCTATGGCAAAAAAACTTAAAAATAAATAAATAAATGAAAGAAACAGGCTTATGGGTGCTTTAATGAGGGAGTGGCTGGCCTGTACCTCAGTGGTGCATACCCTGGGAAATTTAAGTCTTTGTTCTAAATTTCCCTTTGACTGTGGGTATGGGTTAAAATTCATAAGAGGAGACCAATAGATTGCATAATGGTTACATTGCTAACCATGGCTGACCATGATTCAAGTCTCAGACATGAAGGCTTGAAACCCATGCCAGGCATGTGTGCATGCATGCCCAAAATCCCGAGAGGAGAATGGAGGAGAAGGGATTGTAGCATGACCATCCCCCCTGGGGGGTGATGTCTCTCTTTTTGTTATTCTGTCTCTCTGGCAAGCACACAAACCCTATATCAAAAACTCTCTTTCAAAAACAAACACAAAAAATCCACAAAAGGGATTTGAGTGCTGGGGAATATGGATACTTGCTGTGTTTCTATTTTTGAATGCTGTGTTGTTGCCCATTTGCTTCTCGCTCTCTGTTGTGGTCTGAGAACTATTTTTCCTCTTGGCAGTGGGAAAACTGGGAGGGCTCAGCCTATCTCTGGTTCACACTCCATCTTGACCTCCACTTTACTCTTTTATGCTTACGTGCTACCGGCCTGTGATTTTTTGGGGAACATTCTCTTATTCCCATTCTCTTAAAATTAGAAACCACAGATAGACTTATTGTTGGATCTTCTGTAGGACCTGTGTAAAGAGAGGAGAATCCTAGAAAGAATGCTTATTTTCCTCACTCAAAACAACTTATGTGGGGACCTCTGCCTCAGTTTTCTCATCTATAAGATGAGACAAATAATCCTTATATTGCAGTGTTAGATTAAAAATTTAAAGTAATGTAGGGCCAGCAGGTGGCATAGAGGTTAAGGTTCTGGAATCCCACATGGCCAACCATAGTTCAAATCCCAGACCCGGTGACTTGAAATTCATGCTGGGTACATGTGTGTGCATGCCCAAAATCCTGAGAGGAGAATGGAGGAGAAGGGATTAAGGTGTGGCCATCTGCCGTGGTTGGTTATTTCTCACATTTTCTCTGTCTCTCTGGTGAGCACATGTGCCGTATAGCAAAAATCTCTCTCAAAAAAAAAAAAAAAAGATTTAAAGTAATGGGGCCCAACAGTGGTACAACAGTAAAAAATGATGCTCTGTGAGGAAGTCCTGTGTGGGAAGCTCTCCAGTTCAACTCCAGGGGCCTCCCTAAGTACAAGAGGCACATGTTTGCTCATGATCTAAGGCTGGCTGAAGGCTGGGGTGGATGGCTGTGTTAGGACTCACATGGGAGTTCTCTCTCTCTCTGTGTCCCTGACTCTCATTTATGGAAGAAATAAATAAACTTTAGAAGAAAATTAGATTTAAAATAATGCCTGAGAAGTGCTTAGAACAAAGTACCCACTCAGTAAATGGTGGCTGTAATTGTTATTATTGTTCAAAGTAAATGCTCATTATTTTTGAAATGTCTAAGTAGTGCCATCATTTAATTATCAACATTTAAGAAAGCTCACAGTCTTTGTATTTTAATGGGCTGGCACAGTTCTCTTTTCCTATTAAAAAGATAGTATTTCCTTGAACATCAATAAAAGTTGGTTTTCTGATAAGACAGCATACTTGATTGCATAATGTTGCTGAGAACCATGGTTTAAGTTCCCTCATTAGAATTCCATGGCAGTTGGAGGGGAAGAATAGAAGTCAAGGACAGAAGAGGGATGTAGAGTTTATATTTCTGCGCTGTCTTCAAGAGCAGCACCTAATGGCCTTGCTTCATATTGAAGAAGGGAGGACTAGAGGTGGAATTTGCTTTCCAGGTTTTCACTTGTCCTAGTATGGAGAAGCTTAGTTTTCCTTCCTTTTCCCTTTTCCTTTCTTTTCATTGCCAGAGGGTGCATGCATTTCCAGAGAGAGCCAGAGATTGGAGAGAGAGAATTCCCTGATGGGGCATGGTCATGCTGAAATCCCTTCTCCATTTCTCCATTCTTTTGGGACTTGCGGCACACTTCCCAAGTGCCTGGCATATTTTCCTAGTTTCCAAGCCAGGATTTGAACTGTGGTTTGCTTGTGGGATTTGGCCCCCTTAATTACTGGGCTATGAGGCTGACGCAAGAAACTTCTCTTTCTTCACTAACGTGAGACATGTAACTTAAAAGCATGCAGGGATTGTCTTGTAATAGAAGCCTAGATACTAAAAGAATAAATTAAAGTAAAACAAAAACAACTGATTGTTGTGACATAAGGGTGTAGCGTTAAGTTGTTGGGAAAGTCATGACATATTTTTCTATGTAAAAATGCATCATGGCTTTTCTGACAACTCAGTAGATTATAAGAAAGTTCTCTCTCAAACATGACTAACAAGCTGTATTATTATTATTATTATTTTTTGGAGAGGTTTTTGCTATAGGGCACGTGCGCTCACCAGAAAGACAGGGAGAGACAGAGAGACAGAAAGCAAGAAATCACCCCCCAGGGGAGATGGCCATGCCACAATCCCTTCTCCTCCATTTTTCTCTCAGGATCTTGGGCACACACACACACCCGGCGTGAGTTTAAGCCACCAGGTCCAGGACTCGAACCACGGCCAACTACATGGGAGTCCAGCAACATAGCCATTATGATAACTGCTGGTCCCACAAGCTGTATTTTGTGGAGGATTGCTCTCTATAAAAATTTGGGCTATGAAAACTTTGACTCCTCCAATTATAAGAGTATGTATTGCCTGGCCTACTTATACTCAAGGTTGAGAAGGTAACTTATATTAAGTATAAATTTAAGGTAGAAGAAAATCTTCTTTGGTTTAGAAGAGGATGTGGCTTTGAAATAGGGAAAAGAGGGGGGAAAATGTTACAGCTTGTTTTATGAATTTTGAAAAGCTGATTTTTTAATGAATTCAGCTCATTTTCTAATTTCCATGAGTGAATAAAGGATTATGTGATATCTGAAAACTTTTCTAAAAGGCTTTATTTGATCAAAATACTTGAATATTCATCACTTATGTTTTAAAAGAGCTGTACATAAATACTGTACTTATAATAAGTAATCATGCAAAACTTGATTTTAACCTCTTTTTCTCTCCCTTTCTCTCAACAGTTTGGAAGAACTGAAGTAATTGATAATACGTTGAATCCTGATTTTGTAAGAAAATTTATTCTGGACTACTTTTTTGAAGAAAGAGAAAATCTTCGTTTTGACTTGTAAGTTCTCCTAAAACTTTTTTTTTTTTTAATCAATTTTTAACAACAATTTTAGTAACCCAAGTCTTGGTCTTATGGGTTGTGCTGAATATTAGATTATATTAGGAGGAAAGCAGGTTAATTCTGTTCAACATGTGGTCCAAGTACAGTATTCAGAACTGCTTTGAATTTTTTTTTTAATTTTGGACTATGTGTTTATTGAATAAATAAGTGAGCAGTTTGACTATGCTAGGTGTTATGTATGGACATTCTTTCAAACTGTCCTTCACCTCAGTGGGTTTCTTAGAAATTCTATGTGCACTCCAAAGTGATCACATCTATTCCCATGGCTGGGAACCAGCAGTTAGCATAATGGCTATGTCGCTGGACTCCCACGTAGTCGACCGCAGTTCATGTCCCGGACCCAGTGGCTTAAAACTCATGCCGGGCGCGTGTGCGTGCGTGCCCAAAATCCCGAGAGGAGAATGGAGGAGAAGGGATTGTGGCGTGACCATCCCCCCTGGGGGGTGATTTCTTGCTTTCTGTCTCTATGTCTCTCTCTGTCTGTCTGGCGAGCGCACGCGCCCTACAGTGAAAATCTCTCCAACAAACAAACAAACAAACAAACAAGAAAACATCTATTCCCATGGCTGAAGCCTCTTAGATTTTTAAGATTATCAGCAGCTTCAGCAACTTCTCTTATTTATTTATTTATTTATTGCCATAGGGTACATGCTCTCACAGGAGAGAAACAGAGAAATGGGAAGTGAGAAATCACCCCATCCAGAGGAGATGGCCACACTGTTATCCCTTGTCCCTTTTCCTCTTGGGATATTGGGCCTGCACACACGTGCACTTTGCGTGATTTTCAAGCTGTTGGTTCTCAAACTCTGGATGGCCATGTGGAAGTTCAGTGCCTTAACCCACACGCCACCTGCTGGCCCCTGAGCAGCTCTTAGCATAATATATCAGTTTCTGCCTAACCATGACTTCCTCTTATTCCTTCACCACCTGCTATTTCCAAGACCCAGGATTGTAAAGACAGTATTTGAAGACTTTTAATATTCTTGTTACATGGATGTGAACCAGGCATAGTAGAGTATTATTGCCAGATTCAATTTCCTGTCCATAGTGAACTGGGAGTCAGTCTGTTTGCACGGTATTATAAATTATACAGTTTTTATTCCACAGAGGTGAACTGTGGTAATTTTCAAGTATTTGAATATGGATAAATGGAAGTCTATTTTGTGAAGAAGGGAGGAAAGTATTATACTGTTTACTTAATATATCTATTGTTTTATCTCATTTAATAGCAATAAGTATTTATTATAAGCTTTAAGTGATAGTTGCATTTAAAAAGTACAAATTCCATGATCCCAATACAAAAACCAAAACTAAATCTTTCAAAGTGTATACTGACTGATCTTTTCCTTTAAACATATACATATGGCAGTCTCAATAAATATATTTTCCTACACCTTTTACCTTTCATTTATCTTTCTATACCACTGAATAAACTCCTACAACACTTATTTTAAAGGTTACATAATCTCCATTGTTTAAAAGAATTGGTATTTATCTCTTTTATTTTTAAGAAAAATTTTTGCTATAGGACACATGCAATTGTCAGAGAGGCAGAGAGAGACAGAAACCAAGAAATCACCCCACCCCCAACAGAGGGATGGCCACCCCACAATCCCTTCTCCTCCAGTCTCCTCTCAGGATTTTGGGTACACATGCACATGTGCTCAGCATGAGTTTTAAACTACTGGGTCTAGAACTTGAACTGTTGTTGAATACGTGAGAATCCAGCAAAGTAACCATTTATGCCATCTGCTGGTCTCAAACTATTGTTTATTTAACCAAACATTTATTGATAAACATTTTGGCTGGTTCCATTTTTCCTATTGTATGTAATCCTGCAATGGGTATCCTTGTATGCAGCATTTAGTAGTGTGTGTGTGTGTGTGTGTGTGTGTGAAATTAATTAATTAACTAATTAATTAATGTTTTGCATTTACAGAGAACAAATTACTCAAACTTTAGGGTAAAGGGATTCGGATGAGACCGTCCATTGTCTGGTCCTGTTTGAAACCAATTTGGAGAGCACACAAGCTTCATTACTTCCCTGAGTTCCGTGTCTGTTTTTTTGCTCTGATTTCTCTGTTTTATCTTGGTGCTGTCATGAGCTCCTCCTGCCAGGTGACTGTTCATGACCATTTCCCCCTGTATTTTGCTTTGACCCTTGTACTGGCTTCTCAAGGTCATGTCCAGCTTATCATTCATCACTTGATGCAAATAACTGTGGTTATTTCAGAAACATTCTCAGTGTGATAAGGAATACAAAGAAACAGAAATGAGTGTAGGTAAATTCATATACTTTAACTTTATTTTATTTTATTTTTTTGGAGAGGTTTTTGCTATAGGGCACATGCGCTCACCAGACAGACAGAGAGACAGACAGAAAGCGAGAAATCACCCCCCAGGAGGGATGGCCATGCCACAATCCCTTCTCCATTCTCCTCTCAGGACCTTGGGCATGCACACACACACGCCCAGCGTGAGTTTTAAGCCACCAGGTCCAGGATTTGAACCGCGGTTGACTACATGGGAGTCCAGCGACATAGCCATTACGCTAACTTCTAGTCCCTACTTTAACTTTGCGAAGTTCCTAAAAATTACAGTAATTCTCACAGAAATAGTGTTATATTCAAAATGTGGAAGCATTTTGCAGAACTGAAATATCATTTTACCCCTTGAATTTATTTGGTTAAATTCAGAAATTTGATTCAAATAACACCTTAATTTGATATGATCTCTGAAAAGTTTTAATAATTAGAAGTGGGAAGAGTTTCCTCCAGAACATTATCAAGAAAAGCAACAAGTACATTCTCTTAGTTCATATAATATCTTTGCTGTCACTTTAATTATGTCCTTCTGATTTCCCGTTTATTAAAATATCTTAGATAAAAACTTTAACCTGTGAAGCTATGAAAGCAGGCTTAAAAAAAAAAACCATTGTGATTTTTTCCCAGCATATTTAAATAAGTGTGGAAAACTGTATAGCAGTTTACAAATTACGTATTATACCTATGATTTTTAAAAATTATTTATTTAATTTTATTTGTGATTATTCTTAATTTGACCAGAGGTGGGGGTGGGAAGAGAGAGAGAGAAAGTGAGAAAGCAAGCTGCCAGGTCCAGGACTTGAACCGTGGTTGGTCATGTGGGAGCCAAGCACCTTAAACACCATACCACCTGCCAAATACCCTTGTGATTTGTTCTTAAAATTAGTCTTAGCAATGTATTCTTCTTCTTCTTTTAAAGAATTATTTTTATTTATTTATTCATCTATTTTAATTTGACCTGAGAGAGACAGAGAGAGAGAGAGAAAAAGTAAGCCACCAGGTCCAGGACTTGAACTGTGGTCAGCCATGTGGGAGTGTCCAGTGCTATTACCACCATGCCACCTGCTGCTCCTGCAACGTGTTATTCTTTTCTTTTTTTTTTGGAGAGGTTTTCGCTATAGGGCGCGTGTGCTCGCCAGACAGACAGAGAGAAACATAGAGACAGAAAGCGAGAAATCACCCCCCAGGGGGGATGGTCACGCCGCAACCCCTTCTCCTCCATTCTCCTCTCGGGATCTTGGGCATGAACGCACATGTGCCCGGTGTGAGTTTTAAGACACCGGGTCCAGGATGTGAACCGCGGTCGACTACGTGGGAGTCCAGCAACATAGCCAACACGCTAACACGTGTTATTCTTGATAAAAACAATATATGTTTATTGTAGAAAATTTAGAAAATGAAAAAGGTATAAAGTAGGTCATAAAAATCACCCATGGTTCCAACCCCATCACCAAGAATTCCTGCAAATACTGCAGCAATTGGCAGGAGCAGAGTCCCTGGAAGAAACAGCAGTGCGGAAGGACGCACTCGTGTAAATTAGCCACCAGATAGATGTGAATGGCTTTTGGAATTGTTTTGGATTTACTTAATGTCTATTGAGTTCATAACAATTTTTTAAAAGGTATGAAAGAAATTTTGGAAAAGTGTATGATCTAAACAATGGATATTATGACAGGCTTGAGAAATGGCTTTCAGAAACTTTTCTTTTTTTTTAATTTTCAGTGCTAAAAGAAAATCATGATGGAGAAGGGTAGATATTAGTGTGGAGAGAGAGGGAAGGAAGGAGAGAGAGAGAGAAAGAGTAAGAGTATTCTTGGTGGCATTGATCCAAATTCCTGTAAGTTTGGCTAACCCATAGTGATTTTTATTATTACTATTGTGATATGCCTGTATATATGTGTGTGTGTGTGTGTGTGTGTGTGTGTGTGTGTATCAAAGAAAGAAATACATTTTTTATTTATTTTGTTTGTTCATTTTGGAGAGGTTTTTGCTATAGGGCACATGTGTGCGTCAGAAAGACAGAGAGAGACAGAGAGAGACAGAGAGATAGAAAGTGAGAAATCACCCCCCCAGAGGGGATGGTCATGCCACAATCCCTTCTCCTCCATTGTCCTCTCAGGATCTTGGGCACGCATGCACATGTGCCCAGTGTGAGTTAAAGCCACTGGGTCTGGGACTCAAACCATGGTCGACTACATCGGAGTCCAGCAACATAGTCATTACACCAACTGCTGGTCCCAAAAAAGTAATACATTTTGATATTTACTTCTTTTTATTATAATTGTCTCACTGATAATAATATAGGCACCTCACAAACTTACTCTGTTGTCACATTTGAAAACTGTTAAAGGAAGAATAGCCATACCAAATGTCTTTGAGCAAGAAGCATGGGTAGCCATATCACTTCATAGTAAGTGCCAGAGTATAGAAGAAATGAGATATTAAATTTTCTACTCTTGTTTTTTTATTCAGGGCCAAAACACTAGAAACACAATTCTGAGTTTAGATTTTACTTACTTACCAAATCATTTTCTTTTTTCAGAAATCAAATGATGGTAATCATAGCATATCTAATGTTAATACAACAAAATTTTGAAGGATCTTAATACTCTGGGGCAAAACAAGTTGATTATTTTCCAGTAATTAACAATGTGTCAATTTCCATTTTCTCCATTGATTAAGGGCTCTCTTGACAATATCAAGATCTAATTTCATAACTTTTCAGCCATTTTTGTTTATTACAATAGAACCATCTCACTGATTTGCATGTTTTTTTTTTTTGAAGAGGTTTTTGCTATAGAGTGCATGCACTCGCCAGACAGACAGAAGAGAGAGACAGAGAGATAGAAAGTGAGAAATCACTCCCCCCAGGGGGAATGGCCATGCTGCAATCCCTTCTCCTCCATTCTCCTCTCAGGATCTTGGGCACACACGCACACGCGCCTGGCGTGAGTTTTAAGCCACCGGGTCCAGGACTTGAACCACGGTCGACTACATGGGAGTCCAGCGACATAGCCATTACGCTAACTGCTGGTCCCTACATGTTAGGCATTCTTCACTTTAAAACTCTATAATCTCTCTTTCTCTCTCTCTCTCTCTGGCGTGCCTGTACATACAGCCTCTACCATGAATTAAAAACAGAAGGAAAAGTATCTACAACAAAAACCACTTTAATCTCAAACTTAATTCAAAGCTTTTCATTTCCTCTCAGCCTCGTTGAAGCTATTGCCCCAACTACTTACAGAAGGGAAGAGGGTGGGAAAACATAAAGGTGGGAGATGTAAGGGAAGAGAATGGGAAAAACATAAAGGTGGGAGATGTTGGGAGGCAAAGTTATGGATCTCGTACTTTCTGGAAAATTCCAAACCTTATGTGGGTACTTGTCTTAGGAGACACATTTTAAGCAGCTTCTTGTCTTGTCATTACTTCATGTTCCTCATCCCTCAGAAAGTACTTCCTGGAGCTTGAGCCTTCATGTGGTTTTTCTTGTCTCTTAGCAGCACAGGTTAAAGCCTTTGGCAGGTTCTGTAGCTGGCTAGGGGATCAGATGCTGGCTGGGGGATCTTGCACCCCAGATTTTGGAGCTGCCCTTTGCTTGGCTTTGGGGAGTGGAAAGAACTTCTGTGCTATCTCCTAAGAGCATGGAATAGCTCAGCACTTCATTATTACCCGGCTTATCACAAGGCCATGACTGGTCTGCAAGCTTTGTGGAGAAGCATCTGACCCTAATGCAAGTTCCTCATCAGAAGCTATGAGCTAAGCATGAGGGAATACTTAGCATCTTTTTCTTTTCTGCTTTGGACCTTAATTTCAATTATAGAAATATAGGAAAAAGTCCAGTCAACATCTGTTCTTCTCTAGTGGAAAACAATTCTTAAGAACCACCCCAATCAATTACTGACAATTCATTACTCTTGTAATAAGATTTCAATAGCAGGATAGAGTTGTTTATAAAATACCCATTAGGAAGTTATGGCAGAGTGGACACATCCTCCTGGGAAAAACTCAAGCTTCCTGCTTGCCCCCATGTTTTTCTCTTCCTTAAGGAGAGTCTGTGATTCATAAACATAGGTACACATACACACATGCATGCATATATGTGCACATGCACACATATACATTGTGATCATGTAGGATGCACTATTTTCTGACTTTTGAGGGTGAGGACTAGAGTAGTCTTGATATTTTTAGAAATGTAAAAGGAAGCACCAGTCCTGTAGCCTAGAGGTTAAAGAAGCTGTATCCCACATGACTGATCATGTGGTTTGAATCTTGACTCAATGGCTTGAAAAACACTTGGCATATGTGCATGTTCCCCAATCCCTACAGGATAGAGAAATGGAGGGAAAGGGATCGTGGTGGGACTGTGCGTCAATGAGGAGTGTTTTCTCCTCCTTTCTCTTTCTCTCTGTCCAGTGCATATGCCCTCTGGCACACACAATATGATAATAATAAAAATAAATAATTATTTTTTTTAAAAAAAAGAAGGCAAAATTCATTGAAAGAAAAATCTGGGGCCAGCAGATGGTATAGCAGTTACCTTGCTGGACTCCCAACTGTGGCCAACCACAGTTCAAGTCCCAGACCTGGTGACTTAAAAATCATGCCTGGTGAATGTGTGTGCATGCCCAAGATTTTTGGAGGAGAATAGAGGAGAACGGATTGTGGCAGGGCTGTCCCCTCTGGGGGGTGATTTTTCGCTTTCCCTGTCACTGACTCTGTCTCTCTCTCTGGTGAACACGTGTGTCCTATGGCAAAAACATCTTTAAAAAATGGTAATTTCCGGGAACCAGCAGTTAGCTGGACTCCCACGTAGTCAACCGCGGTTCGCATCCCAGACCCGGTAGCTTGAAACTCACGCCGGGTGCGTGTGCGTGCGTGCCCAGGATCCCGAGAGGAGAATAGAGGAGAAGGGATTGCGGTGTGACCATCCCCTCTGGGGGGTGATTTCTCGCTTTCTGTCTCTATGTCTCTGTCTGTCTGTCTGGCAAGCGCACGTTCCCTATAGCATAAACATCTCCAAAAAAAAAAAAAGGTAATTTCTAATGCTTTATAATTCAATGTATTATATGTATTCAATGATGTAAATCACCTATTTCTGCAGCAATAGTATTTTTAAAATCTTCATCAAGTACAGTGAAAGAGGAATGTATTTGAAGATGAGTTCTTTGCGATGAAACCAGAAACTTTAAAAAAAAAAAAAAGTCTTTGAACTGAGCTGAATTGAACTGAACATACCATATTATTTCTCCCCGATCCACACTAAACTCACTATAGAAAATCGTTCCCAGGGTTGACTTTTAGAAGGGGCCAAGAAACCTGTGTTTCACCTCTCATGTTTTCTTCAGTTCTTAATTCCAATCTTCCCTGAGAAGATAGATTATCTCCAATAAAAACAATTTCTTGGATAAGAATTATTTTATGTACTAATATCTGTAGTTATACAGTAGATGTTAGCAATTTGCTGATTTAAAATTGTAGGCTACAGCTGTTGAAAGTGATCAGAATACCCTAATGAGAAAAAGAATCATTTGTAATTCTTCTGAGGCAGATATTTGCATCATGAAATTTAAAAACCTGTTTCTGGTAAATATTCTTAGTCAGTGAATGTACCTCTGCTCAGCATCAGTACACTCAATGAACTCTGTTTCTTTGCCTTTTATTGATTGAGATTCTTTGTTTCTTTGTGAAAACATTCTCATTTTGTGAGAGAAGACTTTAATTAACCTTACAAAAATGGCAGTTACATCTTGGTAGGAAGTTATGCACAAGAAATGTGAAAGTGGTAAGATTTAGGAGAATGATTGAAGCCAGTATTAATATTACTCTATCCAAGAATTTGGCAAATCGAGGTTATTTTGACTGTCAGGGACCTTTCTACTTCTGTGAACTTTTTAAAACAACGGACTAAACTGGTAGTGAATGATGCTATCCTGAAATGTCTCCAAGACTTTGTTTATTTTCAATACTAACTAGTTAAAACCAGAAGGCGTGGTAGTCCTATGTAACTGTTTCTGTTTCCATAAAATATTGGGTCATTGGAAAAGTCATGATGTATTTTTTCATGTTTGTCTATACAAAAGTGCACCGTGACTTTTCCGATGACCTGGTAGTTTTCCTCCATCCTGTCCTTAGGGAAAAACGGTGTCTCATTACATTAGCCAATTTTCAAAATTAACAATAGTGTTTAATGTATTAGAGAGAAACTAAAATGTATGCAAATGTTAGTTCCTTACTAGGACCTGCTTATTTTTTTAATGATACCCAGAGAATAAGAATTTTCCATTTTTAGAGAATTTTAAAATCAGCTGAAGTAGGATACTACCAGCTCACAGAAAAGAGAAATTTAAACTTATCAAGGATTCATGAGTGTGAAAATATTAGGCCTATAAGATTCATAAGAATGAAAGGGCCCAGGTGTTATCAGTGCTGACATTGTCCTATAGGCCACAGATTTTGAGAAAATTCGGAATTAGCTAAGTTTTTCTCCCTTTCAGTATTATTGTGGTTTTGTTTATTTTTACATTATTTTTGTGTTTTGGAAAATACTGATATTTTTCTTTAGGTATATTATGTGAAAATAATTTGAGTTTTATATTTTCATATTTTAGGTATGATGTTGATTCTAAGAGCCCCAACTTATCCAAACATGTAAGTTCATTGTTTATGTTTATGGTTTTTTGATGATTATATAATAAACATTGTTATGTAATTTTTATGAATAATATTCATGCTGATTTATTACTAATAAAGTTACTGGTCCATAACTTTCATGTAATGGGATTATCATAGAAAATGAATAAAATTTTTAGGCTCATAAAGACATATTTTGGGAGAGCTTGTCGAAACAAAATTACCTTCAGTAAACAAAATAGATCAATATTATTCTATTTTAGTTTCTTTAAAGAAATGTTGACAGTTCCCTATAATGTTTTAAATTAGATCAGGCAAAGCAAGATGAGATAATGAGCTGTATTTTAAAAAATGATATTCACTTCTGAGAGAATAGGAAGTACTTAGGTATAGGCAGTGTGGTTAGTTATTCTGTTTTCCCTGTGGTTAATTTGTTCAACAATATTTCTTAGGTACTTCCTTCTGCCAGGCACTGGCTAGCTTCTGGAAACATCACATGATTGAGGGAGACATTGTTTTTGTCCTCTAGTCACTTACAGTTTTAGTTTTTCTTTTTGGGCTCTGATCTTCCCTCCTATCTATTCTTTTCTCAAGAGCTCCACTCACAAGGCAACTACTATTATCTGGAGAAGTTTCCAGATTCATAATACTAGACAGAGAGGTGGAGGTGAGAAGGGAGAGGTGAGAGCAAGACACTCTGGAGAGGCATTCATCGTCCACAAGCCCATTCATTGTCCTGTGGGATTGGAAGTAGACCCCACTTTATTGGAAGGGCTAAATGGGGTGAAAACAGCATTCTGAAAGGGGTTCACGTGGTCTCCAAGTGAACTCAGAGTACACAGATGTCGGATTAGCAGCTCTACTAAGTTGGGAAGCTGGCCAGACTAATAGCAGTGCCCAGAGACGCAGGAGGGTAGAATATTTCACTTTTCTACTGTTGTAGGCTTGACAGAATATAAGGACATGTGATTTTCAGTGTAGTTCAGACAAAGGGGATGTCATAATTCTGAAAAGAAAGAGGGTGGAAGAAGTGATCACAAGCTAGAAGACAGATTTGGTAAAATGGGAACGGAGTGGGGTATGGTGATACAAATCACAATGGACCGTTTCTTCCTTCATTAAGGAGATTTGATGTTTATTTGTGTTACGAAGCATAAAGCAGAATCATGTGAAGAAGTATTCAAAGAACGGCCTGTCTAAAGTGATTGACTCCTACAAATTTTAAAAAAAGCTGTAATCTCATTCCTCTTTATAAGTAAAGCTCACGGTTGCCATTCCACTTTACTGCTCTTCTTGACAAGATTTATGGCATTGTGAGTGGACATTTAAAATTAGTTTTTATAACTTTGTATTGGAAGTTTTCCAAATGTTTCTGAAAAAATCAGGACCATATTTTCTAATCAAAATTGTTCCATTTCAAGGAAAGGGAGTATTCACTTATCTCACACTTTAGTGGCTTATTAAAGGGATGAGGGGCATGACATGAAAGTGGTATATAGCTTTTCTTACAGGAATTGGAGCTGGCAACAGGGATGGTGGGTAGGGACTGAGAAAGCTATTCTCTCTCTCCTTCAGTACATATTCTTTTTACCATGTCTTTTCTTTGAGCTTCTGCTTTTCTCTGAAGACCAAGTTTCTCTATTTAGTCATCATCAAATGACAGGAAAATGACCTCCCCAACCCTCACTGCAACATAATCCTCCAAGTACCCACCCTCCCTGAATATTATTTCTTTGTTCCTTGGTTCAAACTACTTTTTTAGATGGCATGACAGTGGGGCAGTTAAAAATATTCCCATGGGTTATATATTGTGATGATGAATGTGAAAATGGTAACACTTGGTGCCTGCCAATGTGGTTTCCTTGAGTTCAGATACTAGATGGCATAGGAAGATACCTCAACTATGATTAATTATATCTTCCTTCAATAATTAGTCATGACTCAATATTACTATAGAAGAGATATGCCTTCTAAACGTCATGAATGTGTGTATCTTTTCAAACATTTCTCTTCTGGAGAAAAGGTTTTTCTTCCCTAGAAGAAAAGTTCTATGTCCCTCTCATCCTCAAATATTTGTTCTTGACACTACTTTCCCCTCATGCTAACTCTTTTACTATCTCATCAGCACTCATTTAAAAAGAACAGCCTAGGGACCAGCAGTTAGCAAAATGGGTATGTCGCTGGACTCATATGTAGTCGACTGTGGTTCGAGTCCCGGACCCGGTGGCTTAAACTCACGCTGGGCGTGTGTGCTTGCGTGCCCAAGATCACGAGAGGAGAATGGAGGAGAAGGGATTGCGTCGTGGCCATCCCCCCTTGGGGGTGATTTCTTGCTTTTTCTGTCTCTCTCTCTCTTTCTCTGCCTTTCTGGCAAGCGTACATACCCTATAGCAAAAGCCTCATCAAAAAAAAAAAGAAAAAAGAAAGAGAGAAAACTAAAAAAGAACAGCCTAGAATTCTCTTGAAACTTCTCTTTTTTTTCTTTCTTCAATATACTGTATTCTCATGTTTACTTCTGTTTAATTTACTTTGACATACATCAAGATTCAGTAGCCTCTCTTCTTTTCTTTACTTTTCATGATCTTGTTCTTTAATTTTTTTTTAAATTTTTACTAGAAGATGTATTAATGAGAGAGAGAGAGAGAGAGAGAGAGATAAAGAAACAAACAGAGAGAGGGAGCACCCCACCTGGTCACTCCACATGTCTTCTCTGTTTCTTCATCTTGTAAGGATTTTGGACACACACGTACATATGCCAGGTGTATTTTTCATGCTGTAAAGGCTGAGATTAGAACCATGAGGGATCCGATTCCCTTAACCACCATGCCATGGAGCCAGGCCTTCCTCATTCTTTTGAACAGAATTGACTACTTCTTTCTTGAAATACTCACTTCACCTGACTTCCATGGAAGCTTCTCTGTTGTTTCTTCTCCTACCTATCTGTTTACTCGTTAGGTATAATTTTTACGCTTCACTTCCCCCTCCTGTTCCTTAATATTAGTATTTCTTGGAGCTTTATTTTCAGTTTCCATCTCCTGTTGCTGTATAAGCTTCCCTTGGGAGAGAGTGGACATTTCCATAACTTCCCCTATGTCTCCCAAGTGTAGCCAATTGAAGTTTCCAACTGCTTGTGAAGTATTTCCTAGTAGATGTTCTACAGAAGCCTAAAATTCATTTATATCTAAAATGTATGAGCTGTGCACAGCCTTCTTCTCAGTCGTGCTCCTTTGTTCCTTTTCATGTATCTCGATACTATTTCATCACCCCAGTTCCCTTAGAAAACTTGTATGCATTGTTAACTACTTTTTGTTTCACACACCACTTTTAATACGTCATCAAATCCTTTTCATTCCTTTTAAAAATGTTTTTCTTTTTCTTTTTTAAAGACAGGGTCTCGCTGTGTTCATGTATCACCCTGACTGGTTCTTTCGGGCAGGGTCTCACTCTGTTGCTCGTGCTGGCTGTGAATTTAGGATCCTATTGCATTAGTCTCCTGAGTGCCAAATCAACCCTGGGCCTCCCTTGTGGCCTCAGCCTGCTGAACATCAGCATCAGTGTGGGCTATTGAGGCTGGGCCTAAATCTGGTCTATTCTAACATTGTTTTTCTTTCTGCCTTCCTTCCTTTCTTGCTGTTACTGCTTAGTGCAGATCCTTATTACCTTTCTCCTGAAGTATAGCCTCACCTCCTGTGGTTTCCATCGTTTATATCGTCTCACATCTTTCTTTTACTTTATTGTCCATGTTCTATTTAAAAATACATTTGCTCAACAGTAGAGTTAGCTAATAAGTGCTTGGGCTTATAAAAGGGCGAGCATGTCAAAAGAGGGAGAAAGCATGTTTTTGAATCAGTACAAGAATTGTTAGAGTGACTGCCTTGAATTTCTGTTAGAAATTAATGATAAAAGCTCTTCCTTATTTGAAAACATCCAACTACAGACTTTAGGTAAGAGCCCATAACTCATTCAACCTGAAAGGAATTCATGAGATATTTGGAAGATCAGGGGAGCTAGTAAACAAGCCAGGTCTATTCCCTGAGGATACCATTCTTTAAGAGAGTGGTTATCTACCTGCCAATTTTGCAAAGTGGAATATACGCTGGGACCTTTTAGAAAAAAGAGGTTTATAAGTGCCTGGGCTTGCATGTAGAGTGAAGGCACTTATTTACCTTTTACAAAAGAGATTTAGTAGTAAGAGAGTCCTTGAACTCGCAATAACATCTCTTTTTTTATTCTCATAGCTGATAATTTTGAAAGAATTCCCCTTCAGAATGACTTCATTTGGTGTTTTAAAGATCTTGTATGAAGTTTGCATCTTTGATACTATTTGGGAAACAGGATAGACAATATAGGATTGTACCTTAGATTTCTAACACTGCAAATGAATATTGAGGGAAGTCAGACACAAAGGATCAGTATAACTTAATTTGGTTTTGTTGGAGGTGGAAAAGTTTTTAGTAGGAACATATTGTGCTCCCTTTGAAGACTTAGAGAATCCAGGGGCATGTTCCTTTAGAGGATTAACTCTTTTATGATCCCTAGAGTAAATAAATATCTTTATTAAAATGTTTTCCCCAGACATGTTAGGTGCTGTGAACAAGGTGTGCCATTTCACATGTTAGGTTTGCTCTCAAAGGGTACTGGTAAACCCACCTGCCTTCTTACCATTAGCAGAACTACATTCTGTACTTTCATTTGCATAATTTAATTGCATCAGCCAAGTCATTAATGAAAAGATTAATAGCAGGTCCATAATTGGTGCATCTAAGATTCTACTTGGTGTACTAGACCAGACGAGATCGAAACTCTCCTTTGTGCATTAAATTTTCATACCTACAAGGCAATCCAAAATGCATTTATCCACTTGACTGATCTTAGAAGGCATTCATTGAAATTCTCATTTCAGATAAGTTAATGGCTCAGATTATTTTGGCTTCAAGACACTAGCCTTCAGTTTAGGTATATCTGTTCTAAATATTATATAATTTTTCTAAATATTATTCATATGAACATATTCGTCA